GGGGGGGGGGGGGGGGTAGCTGTCATTGTGTTTTATGTCTGACTTTACCTGCAAAAAGCAAATGAAAAAGATGAAGGGATGGGGGGGATGATGTATTGCTCTATAAATGGACACACACACACACACACACACACACACACGTGATTGACAGGAAGTAACCCTTTTCATGTTCAATTAGCTGCGTTTTAGTAAAAACCAAATGTCTTTGCTTCACCATCTTCATCCTGTTTTAACGACCTCAGCCGTGTTTTCTCACTCAGACGTGAAAAAAGTCAAATTAATAATAAATATTTAAAATCTCAAATCAGATGAGAGAGCTCGTCCATTAATTACAGCGTCTCATTACAAACCTTCAAACTTTAACCACGAGGCAGATAACCATCAGAACGTTGATTATTGATTCCTTCTTATTGGCCCGAGACCCACGTCTGGGTCCCGACCCCCCAGTTTAGAAACGCTGTTCTAGTGTTACAGATGGCCCAATCTGAACACAGAGCAAACGAGTGTAAACTGTATTTATCTTTAATTTTAGTCCAACTTGGCGTTTGTTTGAGACTCGAGACGTTTACTGACGCGATGAAAACTCAGTTTGACAGTTTGAATAAAAAAAAAAAAAATACAAGAAAAGTTTAAATAAATGCAGGTTTCTGCTTTTGTTGCGGCAGAAAAGCTCCGTGAGTCATAATTAAATCTCCAATTAACCGGTGTAATTATGGCGGTCAGAGTGGCTGCATTATGATTTATGAACTTAGATGATGTTAATTTGATACAAAGGACTGACCTCTCTGTATAAATGCTAATATACCGTATTTCCTGCCGCAAACATCGCCCCCCACTATAAGTCACATCAGTCCAGATGTGTCTAATGAAGTGAAAAAAACATAAATATGTCCCTTCGCCGTATAAGTTGCATTTATTCTGCATCACCGCTGACTAACGTGGGCCGGTGTTGTGCCAAAAATCGATTGGCTGCCAAATGGCGGCGGCGGGAGCGTTCACGGAAGGACTTTAACAAGAATTAAACAAGATTAACACTTAAAAACAGTTATTCGTTTGCTCGACATTATAGTAAAGGTGTGTCTCAGTTGAACTTTTACTTAATTAATGCACTTTGACGTCACTTCAGCTGTATTTTCAAAAGCCGATATGCAGAAACATGAAGGCACAAAGGGCGACTCGCTGTGCGTTTCTTTGAAATTTAACAAGATAAACGCCTAAGAACAATTATTTGTTTGCTCGACTTCAAAGTAAATTTGTGTCTCAGCTGAACTTTTTCTTAATAAATGCGCTTCAATGGTCAAATCAGCTGCATTTCACCGGGGCGACGCAGACAAATGAAGCGGATTTGACGGTTGCGCCAGGCAGAGGACAGTGGCTGTATGGCAAGCCGATTGGGTCATTAATAGCCACTTTTACCTATTACATGACACAACGGTATGCCATACTACTGAAGCGCCATCTAGCAGCTGAAAATGGTAGTGTTCAGTATTTTCAGTCAGAATGAATGAAAACGGTCATATCGCAGAGAAATATTGTTTTATAAATATGAGAAAATCCATAAATGCGTCGCTTCAGCACGTAAATTATGCAAAAAACATGAATTATAGGGCGGAAAATACAGTAATTATTTGTCAATGGAATGTTTTTCCGTTTGTCCACAAACAAGAATTATAAATTTATGAAGGATCTTTAGATTTATAAAAGAGTCCTGTTTTCCTCTCCAGCCCTTTTTGTTTTGTTGCCTTCCTCACCTGCTGCCTCTCCTTTCTCTCCTCATCCTCCATCCTAATCCTGCTCATCCCCCACCCCCCCCTCCCATCATTCCATCCTCCGTCAGTCGCTCGCTCCGTGTCCTCGTCTGCAGGAATCCTGCACACGGAGCTGCATGTCTCCCCTCCCACGCGCTCCACTCGTTCTGTTTTTCGAAGCCACTGCGTCAAATTAGAATAAAGACTCGTACAGGGTGGGGTGGAGGCGCAGAGAGGTGGGGCTTCCCACAGAGCGAGGCGTGTGATTGGAGGAGGGAGACGTCGGTCACAGCTAGGCGGCAGCCAGTAGGTGAGGGGAACAGGCCAACAATAAATATAAATGTGGGGGAGGGGGGGGGGGACCACTGCCTAACACCCCACCCCCGCCCCTCCGCTGTCTACAAAACACACCAATTTCCACAGACGGGATGGAGAACAGACTTATCTTTGATTGGCTCACGCTACTTCCTGTTCGAGCAGGAAGTAGTTCATCCCAGAAGGTGAAGGAATTCAGCTCTCTGTCTCCATCTTCTCTCGTTTTATTCCACGACTCAGGAGAGCGAGGAAAAACACTTTTAATGTCAGACGGAAG